CAATTTTGAGTTCCCCACAAGGGTTTTCTTGCTAGTTCAACTTTTGATTTTGCCTGAGTCCTCACCTACATGGCTTCTTTGAGACATCACGAGTTAAATGCGATGCATTTAACCATTGTATTGACCCTGAATGTACTACATTGTCCTTTCGTCAAAATGCTTCAAATTAACATGGCTATCCCAATTAGAAACAAAGTAAGAGATTATAACCATGTGTTATTTGTAGAAAGTCCCAAGATTTTAAATGCCATAGATACATTTTATTAAGGTCTCATTTAAGTGATTTGAGCCAAACTTCACTAAAATACATATCAAAATTTTAAGTTCATGGTTTACTAGGGCCAATGTATATTGCGACTCGCGAAAATCAAATTACCTTCATTCAGTCATGTGATCTAATGGGAAGGTTTAAGTTAGTTTGACCTATCTGTGCATCAGAAAATCTGATGGAGGATCTAATGTTATTAATTTTGTATTTACAGCAGAGGTTGATCGAAAGATGTGAAATTTTTTATTCCTTTTAGCTAAGTATTAAAATGGTTAGTTCGCCCTCGTAACAATCTCTAATCAAAATATACAAAAAAACGTTCGGTATTCTCAAGAGTATGGAGATTCTTCTCTTAGTGACTTACTTAAATACTTGATCATCTGGGGTTGGTGAGTTTCTTCTTCTTCCATTAATCGAACTATCAAACGGATAATTAGCCACCAATGCTCCACCATGTAGATTGGCAGACAAAACGAATGGAATTATATCGAGCCAATCCATGATCATTTTCGTTTCGATTTCAGACTACAAAGCCATTATTTCGTTAATAATCAATTACTAACTAAATCTGAAACACTAGACTTGGCACGCGTTTTATTTACCTGTGGAGCAGTATAATACTCCTGAAGAAACTCCAGCTGTTCACTGTTATCCTTAGCTTCCCACTGAAAATACAATCGGTCTGAGTCTGGAAAGTTTCTATTTAAGTCAACGTTGTGAGCGTTTTCCCGACCACTAGAGCTCTCATTTCCCTAAAAATCGCATAACGGATAAAATTGACCGTATTCAAAAAGCTTTTGCTCAATAAAATTACACAAGAGAATTAACGACGAAAAAACTGCGAAATATATAAAAAAACTTTTGGGTTGGATCACTGGTTAAACATTAAATGTTAAACTGAAAACAATACTCTTACATTCTTGACAGCAATATCAAATCCATCCGGATTCATTGATGGCATTAGATGAATTCGCGTGTGTTTGACAAGCCAAACAATGAAATCATCTCCGTTAAGATACTGAGAGCAAATATAATCAGCCAGTCGGAGAAGCATTTCGCGACCAACCACTTCATTTCCATGCATGTTACCGATTAGTTTGACCTCTGGTACGCCTGTGTTGACAAAAAGAAATGGCATAAAAAAGTGACAATTTCGTCACAACTGAAAAATGAAATGATCACAACAAGCAAATCAGAGCCATGAACTGGAAAAAAACAGTTGTATTATGTAGAAAACACATTTTGGTTAGGGCTTATAAAAATTTCAGATAGTTTGGTAAACTTAATAAAAAGGATATATGTCGGTGCAAATTGCACACCACGGATAAAAAATGTACTAACAATAAAAATAAATAGTTACATAATCCGTAAGAAAATTTCTACAGTTCTGACCTGCTTTGTGATAATTAGCTGGTATTCCAAATGTCAAAACATAAAGTCTATTGCCTCCCACAGTGCGGTCATGTTGCTTCGTTTTGAGATGATAAAAGAACGAGATATTTTGACACCGGTTGTGGACGTTTAACAAAACGGATTTAGCAGCTCTGTTAGAATGATATTCTTCCCAATCAAAGGCAAATCCGCATATAAAAAAAAGAATAGGGATGATCGATGTGGGTTTCATTGAAAGGACCTTTGCGCTAAGTGCGAAAACAAAAAACAACCACTCTTAAAATGACCTTAAATAAATGGGTTGTAGTCTATTTAAACCGTGTACATTAACTAGGTATTTAAATACAATCAACTAAATCAACAGATATAAGTTTTGCAAAATTCTGGAGAACAATAAATCGTAGAAAAAGTAAGGTGTTGTTTATGTACACTCAGGTTGCATTTTGCTGAATAGAAATGATCCTGGGTGTCTGTGGAGTGGGTGGTTGCACTGTAAATATCTACGTAGGGAAATTGCTTGATAGAGGTTATAAAGCAACATCAGATTGAGTCAAACCTAAAATATAAAAGTAACAGAAATTATAAAAGACTTTTAAGTTAAAGAACTTTTTGCGACAGTTTTCTACATAACATATATGGGAAAAACAGACTTGGTTTTTGTTGAAGTGATAAAAAAAATATCATGTTTAGTTTCAGTGGAATTAATTTATATAGTTTTAGAATTCATTTGGATAATTGTAAGAAGGGGCTGACTTTTGATGCCTATATCGAGGTATATTAAAAGCACACTAAGAAAAATTGTTTGGCATTAGCAAAATACAATGAACGTGTGGGCCAACGATGCGCACGTTTAGATATTACTTTTGACAACGACACTAGTTATTTTCTTTTTGCATGTTATTTGGTTTTTTAGTTTTATAAAAAAGTAGCCCTGAAATCCTTGTCACCAGACGCCTTAAGATTAAAATGATCGAAATTTTTATCCCTTTTAATTACAAACAAATAGCAGTATTGGCTAGGTATGTACCTCAGTGTATTCACGATTGTGGAAATCACGCATACAAATCATAGTTTATGACTTTCGCGCCATATGTCTAATCGACCCTGTAATTAAACCCCTAAATAAACTCTTACTAAAAAACGACTGTAGACATTTAAGTCACAATTCTCAAAATTGACAGTGACATATTTATATAACTACATGTCATTAGTAGATTCAAAACCACCATAAGTCCACAATTACGGTTTAATATGTGATTATCTTGTCATTTCCCGGGAAATCTAAAAGGTAGATTGTCATTCAGGCATTGTTTGACTACCAAAATTCATTTTGGCAGAAAAGAGACTGTGGAAAATTGGTGAAAATGTAAAATTCGGAGTTTTTTCTCGCTAAATAGCTAATTTTGAATTGCGATGCTGCTGCAAACTACAGGAATTTATGCCTTAGTATTGAACTCATTTTAATTGTCTCTGTGACATAATAAAGCAAACAAACATCTCAGTGATCCCAAATGGTCATAATGAACAACTTTACCTCGTTTTCAACATAAAATTGGGTGCAAATTAATTATGAACCCATAATTTTAAATCTCGAAATTTTAATTCTTTGCTCATAGATCAAATCATTTTAGTTTCTATGGTGTGACATACTTGTCTAGACTTTAGGAAAAAGAAAAAGATTTCTGAGAAACCTCGAAATTCACAGCCTTAAATTAGAAAAATATCTTTGGACCGATTTCGGTATCATTGTCGCACGCAAATCAGAGCCATCTAACTTCAAAAGCTATAAGCAAGATCTCGTGTCAAGAAATTTAACGGTCTCTATTAAATGCCAACTAACATGGTCATGAGTGTCGACATAGGCGATCGTAGACAAAATGTAGATAAAAACAAAAGTGAAAATGGCAGCCAAAATACAGCGGTTATTGTATATGGTGAACATGAACATAAGCTGTTAAAAAATATTACTGTCAATTTTTTTGATAATTTCATTACGTATTTGCAATACTGAGGACATATTGCCGTATGCTGAACCCAGAAAACACGACAAGTAAAATCGCAGACTTTGGTCCACTAAAAATAGTGGTCAGGCTTTTTCAGTGTGGGAAACGTTCGAGGTGAGGCCCACAACTGTGAGTTAGGAAGATGTCATCGATTCACATCTATGTGAGTAAAAGCAAACTAGTAGTCAGTGTTTTAAAAAATGAGAATTCAAATTATTTGGTTGAAAATACATGCATTATTGCCCTTGAATGCCTAAGCGATCCCTTGAATGGTGATTGTACCTCTGTAATGTAGCCGGTGTCTGCTTAAATTGGGATATACGTAAATAAATGAGTTTTCCCTTTTGTGATCTTTCTTTTTTAAACAATTTCTTTTAATTTTCATCGTGGCACAAATAAGCTTGCTTTTCCGCCTTGCAACATTTTAAAGGCAACACTTGTAGTCGTTTGTTTTGACTGTGATGGGTCTCTTAGACTTTTTCGGCCTTGGACGTGAGCACGCGTCTAAGAGATCTCCAAAGACTAATGTGATACTAATTGGCCCTCCTGGCTGTGGGAAAGGCACGCAGGTATGTTGCGCCGCGTTCTATGTGCGCGATTTTAGGCTTCTCGATTGATTAAAAAATATGAAGTTTGCCACTTATCTACTGGTGACATGCTTAGAGCTATAATAAGCTCTGGCTCGGATCTTGGAACGAAGGTGAAAAAAATCGTTGAATCGGGTCAGCTTGTGTCTGATGACCTAGTATGTGAGCTGATTGATCAAAAGTTGGATAGTCCCGAGTGTCGAAAAGGTTTTATTCTCGACGGATTTCCTAGAACGATTGCTCAAGCGGAAAAGGTCTAGTGGTTTGATTACAATAACAATAGAATGTGTAGCTAGAGGAGTTGTTGAATCGAAGGAAGGAGGAACTATCTGCTGTCGTCGAACTTCGTGTTCCAGATGAACTACTAAAAACTCGGATCTGTGGTAGGCTTTTTCACCTTGCCAGCGGTCGTTCCTACCATGAAACTTTCAACCCCCCGAAGATTCCTATGGTAGATGATGTGAGTCAAATTTGTGATGATTCTATTTGGTTTTTCTGGTCATTTGTAAAGTATTTCGGATTTAATCTCAGTAAACCCTCTTTGCATTTTGTGTAGATCACTGGTGAAAAGCTTGTTCGGCGGGCCGACGATACTGTGGAAGCTCTCGAAAAGCGTCTCGCTAGCTACCACAAAATGACATCTCCATTGTTAGACTTTTATGGGAAGCGGAATTTGCATCTTTCAGTCGATGGGACCCAAAGCATAGATGAGATTTTCACGCATATTACGAAAGGTATCGATAAGGGAAAGTAACTAACACTAATCGTTATTCTTTATTTATCTGGTATCTAGTATCTGAGTTTTTAGACGTTAAATTATGTATCTGAAAGAAAACGTTTTTTCGTCGTAACTTTTGGGTAATTCCTTCTTAAACCCTGCGAAATCGTTGAAATCCTTTCTTGCCATTCTGAAGCCCGTCTTGTTTTATTAGTTTTTGGTGTAGTTTAATGTAATGTCTGTGTGAACGCCATGTGTTTTGTCTGCCTACAACCACAGCGGCTACGCAAAAGTGCACTGTAGGCATTCGCTTTTTCAATAAAACTGCAGAAATTCATTGATCGTGATTTGCGAAAACACACACGTAAAAGGAGACGCCCTGTTTTGTTTTATGAAGGCATATCGAGATTTAATTTGGATATTATCTTATAAGTGTTACTGCTATAGAAAGATGCCAGCAGGTAGATAACTGCCGTTATGCTTGATTCTCAGCTTTTTGCGGGAATTTCTTTTATTCTTCTGAAGTGCTGCTGATGTTGGTCGTTAGTATGGACTTCTTGTTAAAAGTTGGTAGTAAATATGTCCGCGCAAAGTATCCAGTCACATGCGAACCCACAAATAATAATGCAAAACCACAATTACTACGATCCTTGGGGTTATGGTCACGGTGGTACTAGGTGTAGTTGGGGCCCCCACAATGAATCTTTGGTTTTATCAACTCCCATTGCATCGATAACCGGTGCAGTGGTGGTTTCAGTGTGCAACAAAACTAGGTGGTACGACACCCAGGACAAAAAATTAGTCTTAGTCTCTGTAAGCATTGGCTCCTTCTAGCCTCTGAAGCTACTCTTGTTAATGCATTTAGTAGCTTTCTAGAAAAGCCTACTTGTTGGATTTCATATGAGGGTCATTTTATTGCGAGGAACTTTACTCTGTTCAGGAAATCTTGTGGTTGTTTAAGTCTCGCGACATTAGGTAACGGCAGTAAATTTCACCCATATTTGGACTCGTCTTGGTCCATGCAAAGTATTGGCAAAAAAATCATCTTAACCCTTCATCGGCGCTGCATGCAGTCCCGACGACAGTAACCGCTTCAGATTGGAATCTTCAATGTAGGCCATCCTGATTTGTAGGAATCGTTAAAAGTGGCTTGTGTGCGTGATCGCATCCGCACCAAACTCAAATGTTAGTGACGTGGTAGGAGCAACGGGAAGTGAATAATCGCACATTTTGGGACATACACTGTTGGCGTAGGCAGACCACCTTTTGCTTTAGGGCGCTAGGTTGTCTCCCTTCTTTACTAAAAGAGTATTTGAAGGGATAACCCGCCTAGGACAAAAAAACCAATACGTATCGACTTGTTTAGCACTGACGGAACGCCTCCTTACCACTCATTGGCTTCCAGCAGACTGCAATTCTTGTTAGGTTGCTTATCAAAGTTGCATCAGGTCGTTTTCCAGACACATAGGAAACGGCCGACGACTAATAAACCGACAGCTTTATAGACCTTTAAGCCGCATTGTCCCGCCAAATGAACCTGTGCGTGAGCTAGGCCTCAGTTTGGTCAAACAGCTTGCCATGCTAAGTAATTAGATCCGCCTCAGGTGAATCATCGTTTGGTGCTACTGGAAATTAATAACAGAGCGTGGGTCTCACGACACGTGAAGAACCGTAGTAAATGTTACAGCAAAAGGCTATATGGTAGACGTATCACTGACTATGGAAGAAAGAAGCAAAGTGTGTCACCACAGCAAATCTGAAATCAAAAGGGAGGAGGGAATCGGGCCGGAGGACATTAGCCCCAAATTCAGAAGTAGAAATACTGGACCAAACCCCCAGCTACAGACAGCATTCTGAAAAAAAAGGTTAATGGTCTGATTTGCAAAATCTGCATTTCGTGAAATTAGTACTAGGACGGACATGATGTCAAAGGACAAAATTTATTATGGGGAATAAGAAGGATATCAGATAAGAGTTGTATGTGGGGAAGTGTGGCAGAGCGTCCTGATGACTGCGGACGAGACGATAAGCTATCGGCTCGAATGTAACCTGAGATTATCATTTCATTGATATTAGCCCACTAAAAGAGTGTTTTCGTCCAAAAATTTATATTCGGGAACCTCCAAATTGAGTGGAGCTGGGCCTTTACGAATACGACCAGAGTAATCATAGTGGCTGCCATGACATGGGCAGTAATATCCGCCAAATTCCCCAGCATCAGCAATAGGTACACAACCTAAAAGGAGAATGTTTTGTGAAAAGAACAACACAATCTACGTCAAAATTAGAATCATCCACATGACGTACCTAGGTGGGTGCAAATACCCAAACAAACGAGCCACTTTGGGTCCTGAACACGCTCTTCATCGGTTTGGCGATCACGTAGCGCTGTAAGTGGAACATCGCGTTCTTGGTCGATCATATCCTGTGTGCGATGACGAATGAAAAGAGGCTTATTTCTCCATTTTACAACAATATTCTTCCCTTCTGGAATGGAAGCCAAATTTACTTCCAAGTTTGCAAGAGCCAGGGTCTTTGCCGAAGGACCAAGTGTCTGCACCAGCGTCTTTACAGCATACTTAGCTGTAGTGGTGGCCATGACGGTGCCGGCTGAAATCGTAGACGCCATTTAGTTTACAAACTAAAAAACATGGGAAATCTGCCACTAAACAACTCACCAAATGCAATCGTATAAGTAAACACCTTCCGATCGACCTCAGTTTTCGAAGAGACCGCATTAGTGTCTCGTGTAGATTTTAAGCGATATCCATCAAAACTCGGTACGTTGGTAACATCAACGTGTGAAAATCGAACTTGCTGGGGCACTGCACACATAAGAAATTAAAAAAAATAACGTACGGTTAATCCCGCAAGATGCTGAACATGTATCCAAGGTCAATAAGCCATAAGTACGAGAACAAAAGGGTTGTCCAAGAGTATGAACACGTTGCCTCGTCTTCCTACTTATAATTTTCGTATTAGAACTGAGGGCCAAAGGCACGGACTTCGCCGAAGCTACAAGGATAGACGGTACCGACAACCTTGACGCCATTAAGCTTGGCTATACACACGAAGAAGCTAAGGCGGCGGCTTTGCATCAGCACAAATTCGTTGTCCAGAGCCTTAGTACATAAAGAACAAATTTCAGTTTCTTAAAATAATAAATAGATAACAACAAAAATGCTCTTTATTTAGCATTTAAAATGGATAGGAAAATAGTCGAAAAAAGCAGTTATGAGCTAAAGTTTGAGGAAATGAAGACTACGCTGAAGTGATAGTTAATAAGTAACGAAGTTAACATGTAGATCGTATGCTTACAGATTTCTGTCCAAAGATATGAAGCGAACCATGTTTTGCTAATGAAAGATATCACTATAATGCTTAATATCGTTTCAATATCACGCTGTTTTGTAGCTCGTGTGTTAGCATCCAATTAGGAAACATAGGATTTATTTAAAGCTTGCAATTAATTTTGTTTAATATAGCATACATGCAAAGTATTTTCAAATGACTAAATTTATCAGAGGAACAATATCCCCTTTTGATGTATTGCAATACTCAAAGGTATGCATTTCGAAATACAAAGAATAAGCAGGACCCAATAATTATGTATTCAAAATTTTAGGCTAAGCTGCAAATATCAAAATCTTCTCTTTTAAAAAAATTATTCTTTGGCTTTAAGGTATATCATTTAGGCTTTTTTTATATTCCTAATTAAATTAAACTATGTTGTTTATTTAAACTATATGTGAACCCGCTCAATCTGGTACTTCATCTCAACCCAATTATTCGCTTCTTCAATGGAGTTGCTCATTGGTGACGTTTCTGATTCGGATTTCTTGATCAATTACCAGCTTGAGCAGCAAATTGGGCTTGGCAGCTTGCCATTTCCAACTATGAATAGTATTAAATCAAATTTTTTAACACTTTTTATTATAGAAAGTGGTGCGGGTGTTTGCACATTTTTTCTAACGAACACTTGTCGTCTAAGCACACGCTGCCCATTTCGTCATATTAAAGGTGATAAGACGGTTGTGTGTAAGCACTGGTTACGCGGTCTGTGTAAGAAAGGAGATGATTGTGATTTTCTCCACGTGTATGATATGACAAAGATGCCAGAATGTTACTTCTTTTCAAAATTTGGTATTGTCTCTTAATTTGTATGTTTATCACTTGCCGAAGGTGTTTGCCTGAACAAAGAGTGCCAATTTTTGCACGTGGATCCCGCGACTAAAATCCAAGACTGTGCCTGGTACGCCAGAGGTTTCTGTCGGAATGGTTTGTAATGAAGTTTTTACTGTTATTTGTGCAGGACCGTCTTGTCGCAACCGTCATGTTCGGCGTATAGCGTGCCAGAATTACATAAATGGTTTTTGTCCTCATGGACCAAGCTGTAAACAGGCTCAGTAGGTTTTTTCACCTGATTTAATTCCTTTAGTCCAAAGTGGTGGCCTCTTCCCGGATCTGATCAAGATCATCATAAACAGAAGTGGATTTGCCATCATTGCAGTATGTTTATTTTTATGCTGCATTGCATACTGTCAACTAAGGCTGAAGAAAACTTTTTGATCCAATAATTCTGGTTCCCGAAATGCCTTATATTTGAGTTTGTTCTTTCTGAAATTGATTGTACGCGTTCCATGTTACTCATTTCTGAATCTCGTCAGACTTCATGAACACATTGACATTCATATTTAGTTAGTATTTTATTATTTGATCTATAATTTTATTCAAGGCGAGTCATCTCAATGAAATTTCAATGAGCTAGGGTCAGTTATTTCCACCTCACACTTTGGTGTGTATTTTCATTTAGAACGACATAAATTCAGTGGCTCAATATTGCTTTGATCCAAGTTCCTTAACCACCATTAAATTGTTTAGAAAATTTTCTCATTTACTATATTGGTGGTGGTTCGAAATCCAATCGAATGTCTTATTTACACTAGCTTTTGCCTTTCACTACGCCTGCAAGGTGCGGTCGTTTTGTGTTGCTATTGCTGATTTTATCAATATTGATGTATTTTAAATTTGGCCCAGATTTTCCAACGCGAAATCATGTTCTTCATTTTTGGGATTGTGCTCTGGTTATCACTTCACGTTTACTTACACGCTATCGGTTGTAAGCAACGTTTATCAACACAGCCCTCAGTTAAAAAGAACTAATGTACAAATTAAATTCTGGGATTGAATTTTTCGTCTTATTTTCTATTACTTTGACCCTAGCTAGCAGAACATTGTCGATCATCGTCAGTTATTCTGCGTAAATTACGGCTTCAGTTTCTGAGAGTAGCTCTTCTAAGGTCCTAACCGCATTTCCTTAAACATTGTGTTGTTATGATTGCTTGTAACTTAGTCAACCTTTTCTCCAATATGATTTGCATTGTGTAAAAATGTACGCCTTCAGCACTTCAGTACCACGTTATTTCGGCCTTGACAAGGTTTCATTGCATTGTGCCTTCAGCAGATACTATTAACTCCTTATATGTTTTGTTGCAGAGGAGAGAGGCCACAAAGTTCAGTTTTGTCATAAGCTTCCGTTGGAAGAACGACAACGACTTCAGGAACAGTCGTCCCAGCGCTTCCAGCCGTCGTTCCCATCATCTGGCCAGCCGTTTTTGGGGAACTCCTCGTTTCCTCAAGGTCCTGGTAGAGGTATTCTTGCGGCGAACCAGAAACACGTTAGTATGGGGGGGCAGCAGAAACCACTAGATGAGGTTACCTGTTACAAGTGTGGCGATAAAGGCCACTACGCCAACAAATGTACCAAAGGGTATCTGGCTTTCCTCAGCAAAGGTTCGAATGACGCCCATAATTCTCTTAATGTTGCACCCGCAACTGTGTCTTGATTTGACTTGATGTACGAACGTAAACGGATTTGTTTGTACATACTTTTTGATGCTATTGTGTAAAGAAGTTTTTCTTTTTACAAATCCTTTATTTCGTTCAATTCGTTTTATGAATCCATCCAGAGCGATTCGCTTTCGTTGGGCTTTTTGGCTTCTGGATAAATGTCTCTTTGACCCTTGCATGTGGTGTCTTCTAACTCTACCGGAGTGTCGAATTTGTCGCCACTTTCATTGAGAGATGAGCCTTACAGGTTAGGAATTTTGACATGTTATGAAGCCATTCGGTTTGTCCAATGAAGGTCCCTCTTAAGGAATTCAAATGGCCCTCAGTTCAGGAGCTCCGCTGTACATTTTGCATTCATTAAAGTAATGCAGTTAAAACTGGGTGACCGAAAGTTACTCCCAAGCATAAACACATTAACTGACACAGTACCTCTTGAATGTCGTTGGGATTTTTCAATTAATACTAAAAAGATGCGAAGTGCCTGAATTCGATGCTACACTAGCAGAATAGAAGGGAGGTCGGGTCCTTTCACTCATTTTTCTTATGGAAGGCAGTTAGTCACCGATCTGGACTCAACATTTTGATTAACGAGGATTTCTCTTAATGGTGCAAAACGAACTATTCCACTCCATAAAAATTAGCCTATGTTCTGTCCAGATTTGACATCAATCGCGCCTAAATGAAGCCCATTCCAACATTGATTCGGAGTCCGGTTCTCATGCCTGTTTTGGCTATTTTGTTTGAAGTGGTGTTTATTTATTTGAATCGTGATTTTGTTAGCAGGTGCTTGACAAATTGACCAGTGGCTCATACTGAAGCTGGAGCCTCACACATTACGAAGGTATTACAATGTGTGACAGAAAAGGTCCATTTTCTTATTTCGAAGCCTTCCACGCACTGTTGTTTCAGCTACCATTTTAGCCAGAATGCAGATATAGACCTACTCACCCCGTACGATTGACCAATTAGATTTTCTCGCAAACAAGTAATTTCCGTGACGTTGGAAGAGTCAAGACAGTTGACATTGGTTCGGTGTCTAAGACCCCTCACCCATTACCACTAAACCTCGGAGCTTTCTGAATCATCATTTGAAAAAGATTAGTTAGTAGAATTTGTAGTAATGAACGTTATCAACGACTCAATTCTTGCTAAAAAAAACAATTTTATTGGCCAACCCAGAGCATTTGAAAGTATTTTTTCCCTCACAATTCATCAGTTTTAAAGTTTGTTCCTGTAAAAAAAACATGCATATACAAGGAATTTGTGATACTGCTGTTACATTTAAGTCAGTCTATAAGCTGCGCTCCCTCGAGTAACTCAACCTATGAACACAACCAACGACTCTGAAGTGCTTAATAGACGAGGTATATGCGGTATTAAGATAAGGTACTTTAATTAAAGTGCCATCGGAAAGCGCAATTTTACATTATTGCAGTAGTTAAAATGAATTCCCGTAACGGGGAAAATGTAAGAATATTACAAGGCCATTTTACTGGAAGCAGTTGATTGTCCAAGTGAATATATTATAAAAATGCAGACCAAATACAAATAACAGGTTGAGGCGTGTATAACAGGATAAAATAAAGCACATCAGTAAGAGGAGATGGAGTCGAAGAAACGAGCACAGAACATATGCCACACCTGCGAATGTATCCGTGTGAGCGTTGATATTCATGGTGAACGGGTGGTCTCGGTTAATTATAACTAAATGAAATCACTATTTGCCGAGTTTGCTTACGTAAATAAACGCTGAAAGAGTGAGGCCAAAAAAATCGATAATGTATGGAGGGATGAGAGCGGAATTAACTATAGGTCCCACTGAAGTGAAAAGAGTTCCTCTTCGTCCTCAGACGCGGGATCCGCAAATTCTTTTACTTCGAAAATGAGCGCCTCCTCAAGGATAACTTTGCCCTCTTTGTAGCGTTGACTCTCCTCCATGGCGTATTCGTACATCCACCCCAGCTTGGTTTTACACGTTAAACAGAGGACGTCACGAACAAGATGGCGACCAGTTATCATGACACGATCCTGAAGGTGGAATTAAGTACTACCATCGTGGTGCGGAATTTAACGGGAGAACAAAACAGATCAAGGACTTCTCAAATGAATGGGTGTCCGTGGCTTTTGGTATAATTTATACATAGATTCTGGCCAAATCCATTTTGCTTGGTTTTGTAGTAAAATAAGTTAATTTGCATCTATCATTACCAATAAACCTTACTTTTCCATCCACATCGATGTGATTAACCGACCACACACATAAAAGTTAGATCGTCTTTCACTCCACCTTTTCAGATGAAGATCATCACCTGGTAAGTGGTCTGATTCTCATTGACTCCGGTCTTAATTCTTCCTTCGAATAACGCTAGTCGTGCATTGAAAATCGTAATAGGTGACCTACTATTGAACATGTTTGACCCCCTGATTCACCTCGAGATAATTGTGTATTACTTACGGAGTCAATTTAACCGGTTGCCTTAATGTGTGACTTGAATACACAAAGAGATGCAAAAAAAATTTTCCTAAGCGACTTTGCATGTAAATGGAATAAAAACGGGACCTTAGGGCAAAGAGGTACGAAAAAAACATTGCAGCATCACTGAAACTACTCTTACGATAACAAACATTCAGTAGTTCACCACATTTGAGCGTTTGAAAACGAAACATGCGTGCTTGCATCAACAAGATGTGTGTGATGGCAACACTTGATTTTAAACTAAAAAAGACTTGAGCAATTTCGACATGAGCTTTTTCAAGCCAAGGGACAGTTGAAAAGTAGTCATAAATACAAAACATCGGTAGGTAAAAGTTAACATTCTGTGAAGCATCTGCATGAAATCAAGAAGGGAACAGAATGGGCTTCGGATCATGTCTATTATTTTTAACACAAACGAACTACTGTTCATTTCATTGGGCGGGTTCCTTCGATTACGTGTAGCCCAAAATGAAGGGCACTATATGCGACACGCAAGATTCCCCATAGTATATCTCGCAACGCCTGACTGGAGTGCTCGGGGTAGCATTAATAGATGAAATTGGTTTGGCAACCGTTAGAACTCCCGAAAATTAGTTTTACAGGAAGAATAAAAGCTATTCCATTAAGGGATAAAACGAACATCGACCACTGAGCAGTGCAGTATACAAATTCGAAAACTATATTTTAATTAGTATTATAGAGATCCTTAATAAACGCATAGACTAAGGGATACAGTATTGCATACAGAATAAAAAAATATGCTGCGTCACGCTTACTGATAATTTTACCCGCTTATTATAAAAAACCACACTAATAATGAGCGCATTTTTGTTATTAAACGGATGGCTTATCAACAGGCAGAAGGCAGAAACCGCACAAAATTTAAATCGATTTGTGGGACAGGTCATGCGATCAAGCATATTAAAGCAAAAACTTGAGAATGGCATTGTATTTACCATTAATGAAGCCTACAATTAAAAAAAAATACGACTCACTTGCATTTCACTAAATGTTACATTCACCACGCGGTTGAACAAAAAGGCACGACCAGTTGATCCAGTAAATCTAGTACTAAGGATTTCATCCCTACTAGTAAGAGGTGTCTGACAATGACAAACGAACACCCTCTCACCGCCCAAATGTTCAATAAATAAACGTCCCATTTGTAACGTTCTAATTAAGCGCCGACATATTGAAACATGTCGAGTTCGACTAATCAGCTGTCTTTTAAGTGTTGAATGGCCTACGTCGAAAAACAGCAGCCAACCAGAGACAAGAGCAGCAGAGAAGTGCTATATAAGAAGCAGGGCAACTAAAGTGGTGGACTCGGATGAACGGCACCTAGACGTTGGTCCAATCTGTGAGCTTGTCGATAAGTTCTGCTTTGTCGTAACTGTCTTATTTAAAGTGGGATTTTGATGAAATTGACCCGAATAGAGTGTAGAGCCATACCCACAATTATGGTATAGAATTAACTTCTGAATTTAGACCTTTTCAAAAATAGGCTTAAGTAGGTCAATTTTGATGTGGTTTCCTTTTAATCTGAAATAAACCGGTAATAAAGTAGTTTAAAGAATTGCATATTCTGTGAAGTAAGTCATGAACATAATTGCTGCCCATTTTTAAGGCAATAATTATTTCTTAATTTAGTGATTAGATATATACTCAAACGTTGCTTTATTTAACCTAATAGCCTTACACGTTTCTTGAAATTACATTCAAAACTCCATATCCGAAGCAACCAGGAATTAAAATGTTGCATTTCACAATGCCATGGTTGAATCTTATATTTATTCCTTTATCATGCGTTTGTAATCCAAAAACCATCTTTCCTTAAATAATGGTACGACATCTGATACAGCCTCAAATTTAATATGCCTGAATTATCATTATAATAGTTATTACATTGTATTGTGGTGTGGCGTCGGATTAGGGCGCAGACATATTGGACCACCTGGCCGCAGCCAATCCTGTGTCTCTCTGCAATCCAA